GAGGCTGTCATCAACCTGAAACACAAACCCACAGAATCAGCAAACATCTCCTGTTTTGAGTGCTTGGTTTGGTTCTAAGTGCAGACATGCTCCTGAAAAACGGATTTGTTTTACTCCTCGTTTTGGTTGCATCTGTGTTTGGAACAGATCAAGAACCTGCACAACCAAGACGAGCACGATTCTCAGCCAACAGCCCTAGTAAGTAGGCCTAGTATTATTTCCTTTATTGAATTATATGCTTTTGTTTTTTTAGGAGTGTGCATGGGCAAATGTTCAGAAATGCTTGGTGGTTACCAGTGTTGGGGGTAATATATTACAAGTAACGCAAGTTACGTAATCAGATTACTTTTTTCAAGTAACTAGTAAACGCATTACTTTTTAATTTACAAGAGAATACAAGAGTTACTTTTTCAAGTAAGTAATGCAAGTTACTTTTTTTTCCTTCAATTTATTGATTGACAGCTCTCCTGTCCCCATGTTGAGAGAAATCAGAAGCTGTTACTGTAGTTCAACATAAATATGAATATGCATTAATTCATCTCACTCACACACTGTCCAGATTTAAAAAGTAATGCAAAAGTAACGTAACGCATTACTTTCCATAAAAAGTAACGTAATTAGTTACTTTTTATGGAGTAACGCAATATTGTAATGCATTACTTTTAAAAGTAACTTTCCCCAACACTGGTGGTTACTAACTGAAGGTTGTACGTTCAATTCCAGAACTTCACCTTTGAGCAAGATCTAAGCAACTTTAAGGACTGCCTAGGCTATCTAGTAAAAATGTTCACTTTCACACTTCTTTGAACAAAAGTACCTCCCAAAAACGTATTTATCTTCCTCCAGCTGAGGTTGCCCGCTGTCTGAACGGAGCTCTGCAGGTGGGCTGCGCAACGTTCGCATGTCTGGAGAACTCGACCTGCGACACTGACGGCATGCATGAGATCTGTAACGCCTTCCTCCACACTGCTGCAATTTTTAATACAGAGGTACAAACGCCCATTGACCTGAACCCTTTACTTAGCGAATCAAAATGATGCCTTTTTACTTTCCGTGGCCCTGAATGCAAGTCATGTTCGTTTTTTCCAGGGTAAGACGTTTGTGAAAGAGAGCATCAAGTGCATCGCCAACGGTATCACCTCTAAGGTCTTCCAGACCATCAAACGCTGTTCCACCTTCCAGAAGATGATTGCTGAAGTGCAGGAGGAATGCTACAAGAAGCTTGACATCTGCGAGGTGGCCAGATCCAACCCTGAGGCCATCGGAGACGTGGTCCAGGTGCCCAGCCACTTCCCAAACAGGTAATACTTGATTGGCGTGCGTGATTGGTTTATAGTCTTAAAGGGATCGTAGACGCAAATGAAAATTCGCACCTTTTATTTCTTTACTCACTCCTTTCTTCCATAAAACAAAGAAACATTATTTTTTAGTGCAGCTCTTTTCTATATAATGGCAGTTCAAAGCAATAAATAAGTCTATACGATTGGTTCAGGTACATTTTTAACTTTCATGCAATAGGCTATTGCCAAACCAACGATACACACAAAATATAAAAATAAATATAATAATTATAAGCTGTTAAAAATGATAACAATCCTAATGCAATATACTGTACAATGTAAGGTAATAAATGCAATGATACACTTTCCACATTATTTTGCAAAGCTATTTTCTGTGAATCCGCTAGACTTCCTAGTGCAGTAAAGGGTGAAACGATTTGTATCAAGCCAGTTTACATTAAAATAATACATTAAAAGGATAAGATATATGATATGAAATAACAGTTTGCAATAGCAAGAACCATAAAGGGCTGTTTTTGTACGACTATAATAACTGGAAGCAAATGACACCGGAAGCCTCGCACATTCAAGTTACAAATGGCCATGCCCGTTTTTACCTTAAATAAATTTGATATTGTGTACTATATTTTAAATCTTCTGGCACCATATGATAAACTTGTTTGAGGAGCAGACCAACATTTATATAATAATATAATATATAAATAATGTTTACTATGTTTTTGGTAATTGTTTGGAGATTTACCAACATGAAATGAAAAAGAATTTTAAGTAAAATTCTTCCACAATTTTCTCAGTTTTTCTCAGAAAAAGGAACACCATACAAATATGTAAATATGAGGAGCAGACCAAAATTTATGTAATGTTTACTATGTTTTTGGTAATTGTTTGGAGATTTACCAACATGAAATGAAAAAGAATTTTAAGCAAAATTCTTCCATAATTTTCTCAGAAAAAGGAACACCATACAAATATGTAGGCTGAAATATGTAAATATTAACATTTTGGAATTCCTGTATAAAGTGAGCGTATTCAACTGTGCATTCTAATGCATCATACCTTGGTGTTGCAGGTACTACAGCACACTTCTGCAGAGCTTGATGGAGTGCGACGAAGACACCGTGGAGGTGGTGCGAGCCGGACTGGTGGCCAGACTGGGACCTGATATGGCCACACTCTTCCAGCTG